GAAGTGGAGCCCAAGAGCTGGTTGTGCTCAGTGTGAGCCAGTGGCACAGGGACTGTCCCACCACGGTGGTATCTCCCTGGTTTCATCCAGGCTGCCTCATCGTGCACATGCTCATCACAAGAGTGACGACATTTCTCTTTCCAGCCCCAGATGCCAGCTCCCTGCGGCTGTGCCGGGCAGAGGCGTTTGCAGCGCTGGGACAGCACCCACAGGCTCTGGAGGACCTGGACACCGTGTGCAGGGCTGAGCCTGGAGACCATGAGGTGAGCAGAGGGCATCTTACTGTACAGTTTCCCCTTTCCTGATTTCTCCTAGCCATTAAATTCATCCTGCTCAGAAATACACTTGCCAAACCCGTTAAGTTGCAGATCCAGGCTGCAAGCACTGCGTTGTGCTAATGGAGAGATCCGGTGCCGTGTCTGTCCTTGCTGGTGTGCAGGTGGTGAGGACACGTAGCTGTGCAGGATCACAGCTGGGGACTCGGGGAAATGTTGGCCAGAGGCTGAACTACCCTTGGAGTCATCATCCCTGGGAGCTCACTTACTGATTTGTGAAGAACTCGTTGGCCATAGTTTTGCAGCTTCAAAGGCAGAAGCCCTTGACTCCTTCTCTAGATCTCTGTAGGGTTTGTTTGCTTGGCTTTTGCAGCTGCTGCATTTTAGAAGAGTCCTGTTTTATGGATACCTGGCTGTGGGTGGGCAAAAAGGACAAGTCTGATCATGGGAGCTGTGATGTGTCCAAGTACTTTGGCCTGGGATGGGAGAAGGCAGGAGGCTGGAGGGAGATTCCCTTGGGGTTTGCATGGGAGGTGAAGGGGCATGTGCTCAGCTGGTCACTGTCTCATAGTCATCACAGGTTTTTCTGCTCTGCAGGCCTTCTTCAGGAAAGGGAAGGTGCTTCTAGAGATGGGACAGAGAGCTGAAGCCCTGCTGGCATGGGAGCACTGCCTCACGCTCAGTCCCCATTTCCACCCTGCTCAGAGAGAGATGGAGAAGGTGCGTGGGCTGTACCGCGGTGCGGTCCTGTGCCCTTGCACTCTTAAGGACTCATGACCATCACAATCGTGCTGCTCTGGGCAGCACTGGGATCAAGTAAAGTTGGGTCCTGGTCCAAGAGCCTTGGAGCCATTGCTCCAGTGCAGGTTCACCCATGAAGAAAACTCCCCTTCCTCATTCCACATCTTCAAGTCTCAGGTTTTGCAGAGATTAGATGCTGACCTGGCATAAGGTAGGTTTCAAGGTAGCATCAGCAGTCACCCAACGCAAAGCAGCCAGCTGAGAGCTGCATTTTCTGCGGATGGATTCAGGCCAGCACCCACCTGTGTACCAAAATCACAGGTACCAGTGGAGCCTCCGTCAGTGTCCCTAGCATGGGGACTTCATGCCATGAATGGACACTTGCTCTCCAGGAGGGAAAGGACAGGAGAATGGTGAATGACCTTGTACCTTCCACAGCCCATTTCCTTCTTGCTCTTTGTGAGTGATGGAGAACATGGGTCCCACTCCTTAAAATACATGATTTTGTTTGCTGCCTCATGCTGCTTTTTTCCTTATGTGCTGCTAAGGAATTTATCTGACAGAGCTGAGCCAGCACTGAAACAAGGAACCCCCATGTGCCCTGTGGTGAGCAGGAGGCTGCTTTGGGGAAGGAGGGAGCCTGGCAGCCCACCCACCTCCCTGCTTCCTTCTCCCAGCACTCCCTGAGCCCCACTTTGTCCTTGCAGGTCCTCATGCGGGAAGATGCTCCTCAGCCACACATGGCTGCTGCATGCCCAGGTGGTCCTCCCCAGGGCTTGACTAGTCCCCAGGTCCATGGAGGGAGCTCTGTGCTCCCATCGTCTTCCACACAAGCTGAGGTGAGAGAACCTACAAAGATCTGAGTCTGCGATGGAACATCTAAAATTGGGGTTTTACAATGATGGAAAAGGAGGTGTGATAAAGGCAGGCTGTGCAGGACCATAGCCACGCGCATGTGTTTGCATACTGGGATGAGAAGCTGCAGGTAGCGGAGAGTGGGACAGCAAAAACACCATTGGAGCTGATGCTGCAGAGACTGGGGGAACAGTGGAGGCTCTTTCTGTCTCCATTCCTCTCCCAGTTTTAGTCTGCAATGCTTGTGGTGAGATTTTAGACTCATTGTATTTAAAACACCCAAGTCAGATTACATTCAGAAAAAAAAGTCAGTTTTAATGGGGTTTTTTTTAATCCAAAATGCACATTTGAGAGCAGTTCAGACCATTAGCAGCTATTGAGGCAAGCTCATCTTTTGCTCTTTGCTTTCTATAGATGAATTTGTCAGGTTTGGAGAGAGGGGGAAATCAGAGAAAATGGGCTCAGATACACTCAAATACCAGGTGGTGCATCTGGACAGAAACAACCTGTGTGTTAACCATGAGCTGAGCAGGGATGTTTGTGAAGGCCACGCTCACCTGCTGTCCTGCAGATGCAAGATGTTAATTACACCAACACACCAGAAAAACTCTCGATGCCATCAGGCTCGGTGGGGTGGGTGGGACAGTGTATTCAAAGAGAGAAGAAATTTGGGACTTATCTCATCTTTGCTGTGTGTAGGATCAGGAGGAAGAGCTGGCGGATGGCAGTTGGGACACTGGCTCTGAGCACGGCCAGGGGACAGCCACCCTTTCCCAGCCGGGGCGACGGCAGGAACCGGAGATGTTGGCAGAGAGACAGGGTGGGTGGTTGGTAGATGAGTGTCATCAAAGGTACCACGATCTCATCTCATTCAAAATACTTGTTTAAAATCCATTTTGGCACTGAAAACTCAGTGTCTGTGCTGTGTGCCAGCTCAGCGAGCAGAGATCCCCAGGGCACCTGATGGGGCAGCTCTGGCTGGCACGTTTGCTGCTTCTCATGCATGTGAGGAGGATCTGATCTTCTGTGTTGAGCTGGTGAACGTCCACCAAACCTTTGGGTGCCACTTAACGAAACGTTCTTGCTAAAGCTGGACTGAAGTTGTTGTTAAAGCCTCTGTGGAGCCAGGGAGAGTCTTCCTTTGGGTCCCATGGGTTTTCAATCAGAACTTAAATTCTCTTGCAAAGGACATGGCATGTCCTGAGCTTGGGGACACAACACCTCCACTGACATTAACTTGCCGTCAGTGTCCAGCCAGATGGCTTCCATGTATGTGGGTTTGTATAAAGTAGTGATGATGCCTTGTAGCAGGTCTCCAGAGACCTCCATCTGGGAACTTCTTAAGCCACTTCTCCTCCCAGTGCCTCAGTTTCTCTGCCTGTCAAAGGAGGTAGGGAGATACCACCTTCCTCTACCAAGTACTATGAGACCCACTGATGGAAAAGCTATGGATGAATATGGGTAGGTTAATGGGGGGAGTTATGTCACATTTCCTGGTGGTTTTGTTTTAACCTTCAGAGCACTTTATGTAGCACTTGTTACATGGCAGAACAAGGTCAGAAAGCAAAGATTAATTTCAGTTTCAAAATAGGTTGTTGTCTTCTCTTTCCTTCTCTTTTGCCACTAGATAATGAAGAGAAAACAGCAGCAGCAAAATGTACCCAGACTTGCCTCGGGGAGCTGCTGAGCATATCTGACTTGGAGTGCTCCCTCTGCATACGGTGAGTTCTCCAGTGGAAGAGCTTTTAGTTTGAAGAATTAACACCTTCTGGGTTTTCTTTCCTGGTGTGGAACTTTCTTCACATCTTCATAACAAACTCAGTCCCCAGTACTGCTGCAGTGCAGGTTTCAGCAGAGCAAACAGCTCGGAGGGGAGGATGGGGCCATGCTTTGCCCTGCCAGGCTGTAAAACCTCAGATCACCCTGTCTCAGGGCACAGCATCGTTGGGTCTGTATAGCCTGGGACATGGGAGTGGAGGTGGGGATGTTTTAAGACTGAAAGTGGTGGTTGCCCTTTGTAACTGCAGGCTGGAACAGGAAGGTGTTGCCCCAGGGAAATGCCATCAACAGCAGGGGTATTGCAAACCCAGAGGGGAGCATTTCTGAGCTCTGTCCCTCAAGATGGAAGAGGGGACCAGGTTGAGCCCATGTCCATCTTCTGGCTCAGGGCCAGGAAAGGGCTGAGTGCTGCTGTAGGCCATGCTGAAACCAGGCTGTTATTTCTGATGTGTCTCAGGACCTTGAGCAGTTGTGCAAGCAGCTGCTGGCAGAGGGCTGGGCGTTGCACTGCCGGACATGCAAGATGGTCAAGGTCTCCTGTGCAGTGGCTTTTTCCAGATCTGGGCATGGCACAGGGGAATGACACAGGGGAGAGAGAGATCAAGGCTGTGTCTGGTCCAAATTAGGTGAATTTGTGTCTCTTCTGAGAGCAGGGAGATGTAATGTACAGGAGGAGTCAGGGCTTGGTGCTGAGTCCTTCCTTTCGTTTCTGATCCTGAAGCCTTTCGTAAGCAGCCTGAGTGCTTGGAGGACTTGGAGCCAGGGAAGGAGGAAACACTTTCCCATTGCTGTCTTTTGGGCTACACATTTCTGGGGGTGTCTGAGGGACCACAGCCCTGCCAGGACCTGTATGTGCCGTGTATGTACTGATGGGGTCCGGGGAGCGGTGCTCAGGCCTGTGACAGTTCTCATCTTACATCATTGTGCAAGTCCAACAGTCCGAGCCCAGACTTCTAATTAAAAGAATAAGCCAGTTAGGAACGTTTACATTTAATTAACAGGAGTTATGAGCAAAGCTTAGCCAGTGCAGCTTTAGTTAAGATGAGTTACATAGCCATGGGCTGCCAGGGCTTGGAGGACACAGTGTGACGTAGCTTTCCGTGGCATCATATCCCTGCAGCATTGCTGTCTTCAAGAGGTTGGTGAAGGCAGCAGATTACCCTTGAAATGGTGGGGGACATGGGAAATGTCTTGTTCCTGCTGGAAGCAAAATCTCTTACTCTCAGCAAGGTGATTCAAGGAAGATGCAGGTGCAAGGCTGGGGATAGCCAGCAGCTATGCCCAGGGCTTTGCCTGCCCTGTCCTACTCGACCTTTACAGCACCAGCCTGGGCCTCTGCAAGTCCCAGAGTGCTTTGGGGGACCCCCCTGCCATGGGGCTGAGAACAGCTGGAGTTTCCAAACCAGGCTGCTGAGCCAGGCCTGGGGAATGATAGCTTTGAGGGCACCCAGCCCTGTGAACAGAGGCTCTGTTAAGTGTCTCTCTGTTGGGCTTACCTGTGCTCCTTCCCCACGTTGCTCTCTGCCATCCGTTGACTTTGGTCCCTTTGCAGGATGTTCTTTGAGCCGGTGACGACGCCGTGTGGGCACACCTTCTGCAAAGAGTGCCTTGAACGCTGCCTGGACCACCGGCCCAACTGCCCCCTCTGCAAGCAGAGCCTGAGAGAGGTGAGGCACATGTTCCACAGCAGGGAGCTCAGCAACATGCCCAGGGCTGGTGTGGGAAGGTGCAATGTTCTTCTGTTAGCAGCTCCCTGGCATGGCAGTGTCAGCTCCACTCACGTAGGAATAACCAGTCAGTTGATAATTAAGACCAAGAGATTAATTTCCACAAGGTGCTGCAGTGATTTAGTGAGGTTGTAAACAGGACTGAGAGGTAGAGAGAGAGAGAGGGAAAGAAAGAAACGAATGCTAATTATTTTTAAAAATGGAAATGGATGGAAAACCTGGTAGCCTGGAGATTTGATTTAATCTTTAATGAAAAGGGATTTGGATGAGACCGTCAGGGAAATTAGGTTGTCATACAAGGACTGCATCACTGTCAGAGACAGGATGCTGTATTGGATGGGCCCTGGGTCTGAGCTGTGTCTGGAGGTCTCGGTGGAGCTGACATCCCGTCCTGCTAGGTGGCTTGACATCTCCTGATAGGTTTTATCCCTGACTTTCTCTGGTCTAAAATTACCCTCAGCTCCAATAAAAGTGAGCGTGATTCAGAGCCCAGCAGAGCATCGGAGCTCCCCCCCTGCTCTTCTCCAACCTATTTCTGGGTCTAATTTCTTTCAGTACCTGAAGGCTGGAAGCTACAACCCCACCGTGCTGCTGCAGGACATCATGCTGGCCACCTTCCCCGCAGAGCTGGCCGAGCGCCGGGAGCTGCACCAGGCTGAGATAGCAGAGCTCTCCAAGTAAGCAGGGACCTGTGCCAGTGTGCATGTGCATGTGAATGGGGGCTCCGAGGGGGCTGTCCACACCACACACCATTCCTCTGGCTTGGTTCTGCTCAGGTGATGTCTGTCCCACTTCTAAGACCATGTCACAGCAGTGTTGGGTGTGTGTAAACATGCCCCATGGGCACCTGGGGATGAGGGAGCATCTCTGCAAGGAGCTGTTTTGTGGGCAGAGTCTGTCCTTGGGCTCCTGGTGAGCCCAACCATCACTTCTTGGGGAAAAGGACACATCTGGTTCAGGGGAGCAGCTGATGCAGAGCCCTTGGGATGGGATTTGCTCCGGGAGGTTTCATAGTGGTCTTACCTCCTGTCCCTCAGCTTGACCAAGAACATCCCCATCTTCGTATGCACGATGTCCTTCCCAGGCATCGCCTGCCCTCTGCACGTCTTCGAGCCTCGCTACCGCCTCATGATCCGGCGGTGCCAGGAGACCGGCACGAGGAGGTTCGGCATGTGTATATATGAGAATGGGAAAAGGTGAGCTCCTGGGCAAGACAGCTTCCCTCTGCCCTGGCTGATTTGCCCCTCTCTGCCCCAGCCCCAAATCCTGAGTAGTTTGGAGAGGAGGAGCAAGGTGCAATTTCCTATTCCACTGCACCCCACAGATAAAATCAGCAGGGAGGTGGTGTGTTCCCCACACAGCAGAGCAAAACAGGATCTTGCTGCCTCCCAGCATCACCACTAGCCAGGCAAGGAATGGGGCCACGGCTAGAGCTGGGCAGAGCCAGTGGTGACTGTTGAGTACAATGGTCTGGGAACAGCTTCTGGCTCAGGACATCTTTGAGCTGCGTGGTTCCCTGGCTGTGACCTTCATCTCCTCTTAGTGAGCACTTGAAAATTGCCATGTTTCTCATACTTTGTCCTTAAGCTGAGAGAGGACATTGGATTAAATGGGCTTTTGTTTGGTGTGGTGTGGCCATCTTTATGTTCCCAGTGGCACCTCCAGATCTTGGACTGGCTCAGTCTCCAGGCTCCTGGCCCAAGCACTCTGTTAAATACCTGTGTTTACATGATGTACTCTCCCTATGCTCTGGTCCTGTTCAAGTGAAATGAGATAAATAACATTTTCTGGGCTTTGGGAGGATGTCTCTGCAAGGGATGGTGTCTTCAGGACCACTGGACATTAGGGCAGTATGGGGACCTAAGTTATTTTGGTATAAGGCGAATCCAAGGGAGTGCAGGCAGTGCACTCACTGTTCCTCTTAGCAGCAAGGGGTAACTCAACAGAGTTGAGTGAACCACCGAATTTGCCCCCTCCCAGCCAGCTTGTTCCTGGCCCCGTTCCTCCTTGGAGGTGATGTCTTCAGGAGAAGCAGTTCTCCCACCACTCATATCCCAGCTGAGCCCCGCTTTTCTCTCCCTGACTCCCTCCAGTTTTGCTGACTACGGCTGCATGCTGGAGATCCGGCAGATTGAGCTGCTGGCGGATGGGAGGTCCTTGGTGGACACCATTGGCAGGCGGCGGTTCCGGGTGCTGAGCCGTGGACACAGGGATGGCTACAACACTGCCGACATCGAGTACCTGGAGGACAAGAAGGTGAGGGTATGACCAGGGTGAAAGCCCCTGCTGTGGTGGGACAGAGCCTCTCCATGGACACCTTCTGCATCCCTCTTCCCTCTACGCAGGTGGATGGGGAGGAGCTGCAGGAGCTGCAGTGTCTGCACGAAAGCACCTACAGCTTGGCTCAGCGGTTCTGTGAGCATGGAGACCTTGCCTCCAGGCACATTCTGATGCAGCATGGACCACTGCCCGAGAAGGAAGAGGACATCCAGGTAATGCCCTGGGTGAAGGGATGCTCTAAATAGAGAGGGTACCAGGGGAACCTGTTCCTGTGCTGACCACCTCACTCCCTGCTCAGTTCACCCCCAAGATGAGCAAAACAAACCCTGTTTTTCACTCCTGTTACTGTTTATGGCATCTCTCATTCAAAGATGTGGTAGAAACTAAACTGTGTGGATTTGAAAACTCTTGGGAAAAAGAAAAAAACAAATGGGCAAAGAAAAGAACCCCACAGCTCAGCAAGCCTGCAATTTCCTTTCTCATTGTGTTCCTGTGAGACATCTGTAGCTGCCCAGAGGAGAGGAGCTAAGAGGGCAGGATCCAGTTTGCTCATTAAATTGCTCTGACAAATTCAGATTCTGGAGGGAAAAAAAAAAATATCCCAAAATTTAGTTTTCACTCCTTTAAGAGAGTGTTTCCTCCCTGGATCATTACAAATCACAGAATCACAGAATGGTTGGGGTTGGAGGGGACCTCAGGCGATCATCCAGTCCAACCCCCCTGCCAAAGCAAGTTCCCTACAACAGGTTGCACAGGAAAGTGTCCAGGTGGGTTTTGAACATCTCCAGAGATGGAGACTCCACAGCCTCCCTGGGCAGCCTTTGCTGGCTTGTCCCAGGCTAAGGCTGTCCTGGCCAGCAGTTGCATCAACACTGCTGTGCTCAAAATTAGAAAACAACTCATCCTCCTTCAGCTGAATCGAGCATTTCCCTCTTAGTTTGGCTCAGGTTTTAAAGAAACTGGTTAACAAAAGCACTGCCCAGTGGCTGTGCCTGCCTGGCCTGCACCTCACCTCTGTGAGTGATGATAAGGCAGGTGCCCCAGAAGGCACTGACCACGCAGGATTTGGCCCATGTTTACAAAAGCATTGCCTTAAACATGGAAACACACAAGATGTTGCTTTATCTCTTCAGCAGAGACTTTTTCCTGGTTACATCTGTGTCTGGAGTCTCCCTGGGGAATGCTTGTCTGGAAAGTAAATTAGTTTATCCAGCAGTTTTGAGCCTGGACAGATGAAAGGACCGTTCAGAGAAGACCTTAGCCAAAGCTGGCATTGCCATCCTGACAAGAACCATGTTTCCCATCAGTGATGCCACCCAAGAGTCACCCATTCACCTTGCGGTTCCTGACGTGGGGGTCTCTTCCTCTCTCCCCTCCAGGCTTCGGCAGACGGCCCGACGTGGTGCTGGTGGCTCATCTCCATCCTGCCCCTTGACCCGTCCTACCAGCTGAACCTCTTCTCCACCACCTCCCTGCGCGCCCGCCTTACGCAGCTGCAGAGCATCCTGGCCGCCCTGCTGCAGCAGCCACCCCCCAGGCACCCACTGCCCGAGCACAGCCCCTGGGGACGTGTCTGAGCCCTCCAACCCCCACCTCTCTGCAGAGGAGACCTCCACCCCCTTGGGTTTCTCTATGTGTTGCTTCATGGTTTTATGTGTGGTTTGAGCCCCCCTAAAAGTGACATAAAAGTGGTGAGCTGGGCACCCTCAGCCCAGCTTGGTGGGGCCAGTGCCACACCGGCAGCGACACTACACCGTCCATGTTGCCTCTGGGAGCTGCTTGGTGACATGGCCATGCTGTGCCATCAGAACAGGGACCAGGTTGGAAAGCTGGGTTGTGTCTGGGGAGCCAAAGTCACTTGCTGAGATGCTTCGGTGCTAAGGAGGACTCTCCTTAGGGCAGAGGACTGAGTGCCAGGATCACCTCTTCCTCGTTGAAGGACAACGTAAGGTTTTTGGTAGATGGTCCTGCTCTGTGCAGCAGGCTTGGGCAAGGTGGCACTGGGAGGCAGAGAGGTCCCAGTGGCTTCCCCTAGCCTTGGGACCTGATGGCTCGGCCACTGCTTACAACTTTGGCTTAATTTCTATTCAAAGAAGAAAGGTTAAATTAAACAATCTGAAGCCCACAGTGCTGCTCATAACCACTTCCATGGCCACACAGTGAGGAGATTCTGTTCTCTGAACATGTCCAGGTCAGAAGGTCCCCTTCCCACCGCTCTGCTCAGTCGTCTGTGCCAAGCTCAGTGGCTGCTTCCCCAGGCTGGAGCCATGCTGGAGGCTGCCGGCCGCTTCCCCTACTGCCAACCCCACTGCCGTGAAGTGCCCTGGGAAGGGGGATATTTGACAGTTTTGGTGCTTTTCCCCCCACCCAAAGGCTGCTGTTCCCAATCCTGGCTGGGTTCAGGTTGCAGGGTTGGACCTGGGGGCTGGAAGGAGCTGCTGGTATGAGGGAGTTAAGCCTGGAAGTGGTTTTGTGAGATTTTCTGCTCCTTGACTAGTGCAATTTTCTCATGTTCAGTGTTTCTTGTGAACTTTCTGCCTTCTCTGAGCTGAGGCCAGGTCCTTGCACTTGGGACCCAGAACAGTTCAGGATCCCCCAAAACAGCACAGAGTGAAGTCAAAGGGAACCAAACCTCTGGAGAGGCGAGGAGGGGGTAAGACCAGTGTCCGAGGCTGTGAGTCCCCTGTCAGGGAAGCAAGTGCCTGTCTGGAAGTGCCTGGCTGCTGCTTGTCTCTAAACACAGGGAAAAGACTTTTCTCCTGGAAGGCCAAGCTTTCCTCCATGGAAACCCTGAAGGTCTGGGATTTTTGTATCCCATCCATAATTTCAGTGACTTTAGGTTGAATTTCAGGAGTGACATCCACTTAGTCATTGGATTAAGATTGCTTCCAGAGTTTTATCCATGGTTTTCTCAAAGGCTCTGTACTCCATCTGGGGGCTTAGTGGGCTGCTGGATGTGTGTATGGGAGAGAAACTCAGGCTGTGGTCCTCACAGTATGTGTTGCTGGGCTGAGCCTGGGACAGGAGGCTCTGGACACAGCTCTGGAGAGGTCCCTGCCTAGGGCCACCACCTTTTTGTGTCCTGCTCTCTCCAGGAGTGAGAGGTCTCAGTTCCTCCTCTACAGCAAAGTGCCTCCCCAGAGCAACAGGCAGGGGGAGGTGAGGGCTTGCTCCCCAGGGGCCACGGTGATTTGCAGGGTGGCTGAGGACAACTCAAAGCTGGATTTGCTCCTCTACCTTTGAGCCATGTCCTCCTCCACTTTGCTGCTCTCTCTGGGGCACCATGACCCCCCCAGGGGGCTATATCCTCAGGATGTCAGATGAGGGTGAGCAGGGGTAGGTGATGGAGGGACACCTCGCAGTCCTGGGGCAGGTGTGTGCAGGTGGCAGGAGCCACTGAAGTTTGGGAAGTGCCTTTTTTTTTTCTGCAGGGTCAGTGTGAGCTCACGCAGTGACCCACCCCCCCTCACCCCAAGCCACTCACCTGCCCCCCAAGTTGCCCATTCCTCAGGTGTGGGAGCTCTCTGGGCTGCTGTTGGTCCCTCCAGCAAGGAGGTGGCATGGTGGGATGCTGGGGAGAAGTGTGGATCTGCACCATGTCCACTCTGGGGGAGAGCTGGGACCAGAGCCACATCTGCCTGGCTGCTTTGGGAAGGGACTTGTGCAACTCGCTCCAGTGTGCTTGGAGCACCTTTGGGGTTTGTATTAGTATCTTTGCTCTTTGAATTAAATTTTCTTCCTCATCATTGAAATAAAGACCTTTTTTTGTTGTTGTTTTGTTGACGGTGTTTGCTGCTCATTGACGAAAATACTTGGGCATCACCAGGGAGCTTTGGAGACACGTGGAGAGTGGCACCATGGCCTTCAGACATCAAGTTAGACAGACACAGGGAACACTGTTCAGTGAAGGTAGATGGCAACAAGGGAGAAAAATAAGGTGATTTTGCTTGCAGAGGATGAGCATGTGACACAAAGCAGGAGGGACTGGTTCCTGCCCATCATTGTGCCTAAAGGCTTTTTTGAACTGGGAGACTGGTCTGGTCGGGATGCTGACCAGTGTGAGATGATCCTGGAGGGTGTCTGTCCCTCAAATACTGTCCCTGTCCCACCTTTGCAATCATGGCAGAGGGCTGTTAGCTGGGAGCAGGTTTGCTTTTGGCAGCTGGCATTAGCGATGAGTGACAATCCAGGGAGACATGTCCCTGTCCCACCTTTGCAATCATGGCAGACGGCTGTTAGCTGGGAGCAGGTTTGTTTTTGGCAGCTGGCATTAGGGATGAGTGACAATCCAGGGAGACGCACATGGGCTCTAGAATGAGAGGATGGCCATGGATGGAGAGGGAGGGGATGGTCTTCAACCCTGAGCATGGAGATGTCCTGGTGGGACAGCTCTCACCTGCTTCTTGCTCCCACCTCACCTCTTCCCTCTACCTCCCAAATGTGCCATGCAAACCAAGGACAAGAAGGGAACTTCCTCTGCCCAGCTTTGCTTTGCACCCTGCCTGGGGACCTGGAGCAACTGTAGAAGAGAGGGAGCAGGCTCAAGCGGTCTAAGATGGTGGATAACCCTTAAAAGGTCCCATGACTCAGAGCAGAGTGTCTGCCAGGCCATTGATAACTCACTTCATGAGGAATTTTATCTTGAATTTGACCTCCAGCAATTCTCTACAGAAGCAGCCATGCCCTGGTGAAGCCCAGCTGTGTGCTGTCCTCGATGCCAGCTCCTTTGGTGGCTCTGGCAGCCCAGGCCTTGTGCCCAGCCGAGTGGCTAGTGTGTGTCTGTGTGTCTGGGAGTCTGGAGCTGGCACCAATCCCTTTGTCGTGTTGTCCTGCTCCCACTAGATGTCAGGAAGAGGCTGAGTGCGGGCAAGGAGGAAGGCACAGCAGAGCGGATGTGCATCAGTGGCTTCCACAGGCTTGGCCATGATTTTCTCACCCCCAGCCCCAAAAGCAGCTCTACTCTCAGCCCTGGCCTTGCACAGTGAGTAGGGCTGGGCTGCCCCAAGCTCTTCATCAGAACAGAAGTGAAGGTGCGAACCAGTGCAGTGCATCACTTGAGGCCACCTCTTCTTTCCCAGGTGCACAGGGTCTGTGCTGGGAGATCCTTTCTCCACACCAGCCAGCAAGGTCTTATTTGCCCTCTTGGGAATTGGAGCATTTGGGGGTTGTCCTCCTCCCCATCCTCCTCCAGCCACCCTGCTGGTCATGGCCTCAGCTCAAAGGTAGGAGATGAGGCAACTTCTTGTCCCAGCACAGATCTGGGACATAACAGTGTCCCATGACCCCTTGCAAAAGCAAACCCAGCATCTCACAGCCCCACTGGGATGATGGGTTGCTTCACTGAGCAGTTGGGAGCTGGATGGGGGCAGCTGGAAGGGACCTGGCTGCATCCACATGGCCACAAACCTGCCCCAAATGGCTACCTGGGCAAGGGAACCCCAGCATCCCATCAGGTGGGACTCTGAGGTGGATGTTGGGCTCATTACTGTCTCCTGCCAAACCATTCCTTCCTGAGATGTCCATTTTGGGCAGCTTTTGGACCCAAGTTGCTATGGCCTTACTTCATCTGCAGGGACATAGAGGACCCAGAGCAACCAGGAGTGGCTCCTTGCCCAGTTCCGAGGGCTCCTGCTTCACCTTGTCTTTTGTCATGAGCCCATGGTGAGGCCAGATCTGGTCCTGCCTGGCACGGCTGGGGCTGGCAGCTACAGGCACCTCCAGCCTCTGCCCCAGGCTCAGTGGTAGCATGCACAGCAGCTTCACCCCCAAATCAACAGCCAGAACCGTGGAGAGATGGGTCCATCTCTGCATAGGCTCCTTGGAGGCACTCAGGGTCCAAGAGGAGACGGGCTGCCCAACCCCACAGCACAGCAGCTCCATCCTGCTGGCACCACCACGCTTTGCTTTCTCCTGCTAGGGTCTGTTTCCTCCCTGTATTTTTCCATCTCCATGTGCACTCCTCCCCTGCACATCCCAACAATAACTGGTAATGATTTCTGGCCTTTACATAACACTTGTCATCAGAGCTTTTCAAACCGACTTCTGTATCCTTCTCTAGATTTTACAAGCATGAACCAGGGGATCAAAGAAGCAATGGGTCACCCAACAAGGTCCCTGGTAGTCAGGGGACCACTCTCCAAATGGGTCCCTCTTCCCACTGCATCCACCCGCTGCTTCTGTGGACACTGGGACGTATCCTGCACTAGGATTTTACATCCCTGGGGAGATGTAAATGAGAACTAGCCCTGGCCCTGCTCCCACCATCCCAAAACACATCCTCCAGCTCCTCCAATCTCGTCTCCAACAGCACCATTTCCTCCCTTCCCATTCAGCGTCTTCAACTCAAGACATCAGTGACAACTTCCCTTACCTGATAGTGTGGGCAAGCAATTAGCTAAAGAGGCAAATAATTAATACAGCAGGTGTCAGGCTGTGCCTTGTCTTTCTTTAACAAATGGTGCATTTCCAAACTAATTAGACCAGCTGGTACTTGAGATAGCAGAAAATCAACATGAGATTGTTGGAGCCAAGATCTTCTCTAGCAAGGCCATGCTCATGCTCTAAGAGGAGTACAGTA